TGTGTGTGTGTGTGTGTGTGTGTGTGTGTGTGTGTGTGTGTGTGTGTTTGTGTGTAAAACGGTGTGGACAGGTGCATCCCCTTTATGCATTGCATTTGTTTGTCCGCATGTTTTGTTGGTTTGTGGTTTGCATTCCTGAGGGATTATAATGATTCATTGTCAATAATGGAGGAGAGTTGTACAGTTGCGAGGGGCTGAGAGGTTTACGAGGGTTATAAGCACAGCTGCATCCTGCGTGTAGACAAATGAGTCTCAAACAAACGTCTGAGGAATGAAAACTCTTTGGCTAGAGTGTGAGGAGTGCAGGGAAACTTTAAAACATCCGTTTATGGGTTTTCAGTAGTTAGCCTCAGTGCCGAAATGTTTGAAGTTTTATTTTACTATAATATAAATAGATATCTTTGAGTTTTGGAGTGTCAGTAAACAAAACAAACAATGTGATGACGTCCCCTTGATCAGTGTGTAAGTATAATATGCATTTTAAACTATGTACCGATATTTTATGGACTAAATGATTAATTGGAAACACAATGAACTGATTAATCGATTATGGAAAATAATCCTAGTTTACGTCGGACATAGAATAGCAACTCCGAGACCTACTTTTTGTTGTTGATGCACCCTAAATTAGTGCAAACAACCATTCTATAGTTAGTAATCAACATATAGGACAGGGATCTATTACAAAGTCTCAGTCCACATTATAAAAGCGCCCAGACAGACACACACACAAACACACACATACACATATACAAATGGTGTTATCCCATGTTTCCTTCTTTTTCCCAGTGTCCAAGTATTCTCCCCTGGGAGTATGATCATGTATAACACATTTCCCCTCATGATCTGGCCTGTTAAGATTAAATATGTAGCCATATCATCAAACATTTAACACTCACGCTGCTACAAATCAGATTCCTAATCGTGTGTGGACTTTGGGGATGGGGACTCACGTGCATGTCTTGATCCTAAGTTGATGTGAGTGTGCTGATTGCATGCTAGATTAATTCATATAAGTTGCGGAGACTTGTTGGCAGATGGGCATGTCTGCTTTCCGGAGGGTTAATTGTTAAATCAGTGTCAGGGAAATAATGTTTTCATAGCCACTTAACGGTGTTGGTGGGTACGCGCGCGTCTATCTGTGTCTATTTCTGTGCATGGCGTAGGCTGGGAAGCCTCCTCGGCACTGGGTAAAGTGGGTTAAGTTTACTGGGGCAGAAAATGCAGGAGCGTGACTCAATCCAGTGCCTTCGTACAACCAGTCTCTAAAATATGCCTCTGTCGCATTCTGTCTGCTCAGTGCCTCTCAGCAACACACGCACTCTGTGGTGAGAGGCTTGTATGTAGGACAAGAAGGACAGATGCAAAGGCTGCGAGTTACCAAGTCCGAAAAGGTGGAAGGTGTGTGCGTTTGTTATATGAACATTGTAACAGATATTCTATTCATTTTCTACTCAGATATTTCAAAGAACGTTTACTCTGGTTAGTCTGAGTACGAATGAGTCTGACTCAAATCCAAGGTGACTTTCACTGTGGCAAGAATGACATAAGATAGGAAACAGTGCACCTGCCTCTCGCCTCTTAGGTCTTTCTAGAAATCACCCACACACACTTCCATTCACACACACACACACGCCTGCGCCAAGAGAGATGCACAAATAGAGAGCCATTCACTGTAATGTGAAATGACAGATTTGGGGTGCCGAGTGACACAGCAAAATTCAGATTACTAACAGTGCAGCAGAGAATGACTGAGCAGAATCTCTTTCATTGCACTTGGTATCCGTCGTCACTCGAGGCTGACAAAAAAAGGTATGAATAGAGATGAAAAAACAGGAATAGACAGAACAACTGAGAGCAAAAGATAAAAATACTGAGAGACAGAAACAGACCAACATTAAATAAAGATATTTTGATACTAATAACGCATACAGGCTGGTAGACAGAACAAATCAACAGAAGGAGGAATAATAAACTCACAGTTTGACATACATTTAGTCAATAAAACCATTTAAGGTCATTTGGCCAGACGTGTGAGGTGCAGCATGTTGCATTCTCTGCAGACTTGCAGACTTTAACACCTACTCTGTGCAGTGTATAAGACTTGCAGTAACACCTTTAGACAGTTAGCTGCAAACAGGTGCTTAAGAGGCTTTATCAACATGTCTGGCATAGATACTATTTTTGAGTGTGTGAGTGTGTGTGCGCAAACCTCAAACCACTTGGAAGGTTGCCCAGAGTTTGATTAGCACATATCCCTATTTTCCAGGCCAGGTGGCCATCACAACCAATGAGGCTCACACAGACACACACACACACACACACTCTGCACTCTTGTTCTAAACAGGAAATAAAGACCAAAACTGTCCTCGGAGGTTTTTTACTGTCGATCAGAATCAGAAAGGCTCGTTAAGGCCAGTTTTGCGATGCACAGTCTGAGATGCTGCTGTAGCCACCACTCTGGTGTTCTTGCTGCTTACTGGATTACTGGGACAGTCAACTTCCACGAGGAAACTGGTGGCGAAGACAGATGGAAAAACTCCTCAGACTTAAACTGCATCAGCGCGATTCACCTTAAGGTACTGTAACATGTAGTGAAGTGGATTTTGAGCTAACACTAGTTTGTGCAGTGGGTAATTATTTGTTGAATTCATGACCATTTCATTATGCTTTTATGTGTATGTATAGATATATGATAATGTTCACATGTTCATAGTGGATTCTTGGAAGTCACATATGTGTTTGTGCGTTTGTAAGCACATGTGAATGGTCCATACATATATGTGTGTTGGAACACAATGTGTTGTTTGCTTCTGCGTGTTGTGCAAAGAGGTGAGGTGATATCCAGCTCTCTCTGTGATGATGACTGTTGTAAACATTGCACCAACGATTCATTCCACCACCTCCACTGGATTCTACACAGAAATCTGGGTTTTAACCCTATGCGTGCCGGGGAGTCACACTGGGACATGCTGTCGCGTGTCGCCTCTCTGCTGGGGGCTAAGCTCCTCACTAATGACAAATACTGATCCAGATAGGCTACCTGCCGCTCTCGACACTCTGTACTGCATTCAGACTCCACGTGCCACCTGCTTCACAGTCTTAGTGGCAATATACTGTCCTTCACCATGCCGGAGGGTATTTATAATGCATGAGCGGCATGCAGATGAGAATTAGAGGGATATTTCTGAGTTATTAATGGCGGGGTGTTACACATTCACAGCAGGCAGCATTAGGAGCAACTTCAGGAAGACAGGGAGCCCTCTTGAGGGCAACAAAAGACTGATGGATCTGTGCACTCTATCTGACGTGTGTTATGGTGAATGTGTGCATATGTGTGTGTGTGTGTGTGTGTGTGTGTGCACAGAATCACGGCTGTGCAATAGACTCGGTCACACCCCAGTGCTCCTGACCACAGGCTTGATGTGAGGACTGATGAGTGGCTGATCCAGCCGACCTCACACCCAAGAGAGGTCAGAGAGGGCAAAGGTCATTGGCACTCTGGTCTGTATGGTTTAGGAAGAGGGCAGGAGTAGGACGGGAGGGATAGATAATATTGGGAGGGATGTGTCTGAGACCCAGTGGGGCTGCGAGAGAGAGAGAGAGAGAGAGAGAGATGAAGCAAGAAGAGAGAAGTAGCAGGTGGAAATAGGTTTAATGTGAGACATAGAGTGAAAGGACAGAAAGGAGGAGGTGTGACCATCAGAGTCCTTTCCTTTCTCTGCACTGTCATCACAAAGCTCTGGCATAAATATTTTAAAAAACAAACTCAAGAGCCAGCGTCTTATATCACTAACACAGTAGAAATCTGATCACTAACCAGTTGTGTGGTCTGGTTTCCTGCAGTAACCCGATTTCCCCCAGTAACTTGGCTACTTTGGTGACTGTAAATGTAGTTTGCCTCCTCCTTACAGCTCATTGTTGTCTTCAGTCATATCCTGTTTGTTGGCTCTGCCCAGTTAAACTCACTTTCCCCCTTACTCCTCATGTCTGACTCCCTCTGTTTCTTCCTTTCTGGTTGACAGAGAGAGAATGGGGAGTACATTCCTCTGGTGTTTGCCAGAAAAACAAAAACAACCCCTCTCCATGGAGCGTCACACTAACATCCTTCGTCCCACTGCTTCCCTTCTTTTCTTCTACTTCTCTTCCTCCCTCAGTGAATCATTGCCCCTCTGCTATGCACCCGTATCTTCCCTCCCCCCGCCCCCTCTCCTTCCCAATCAGCCCTTTACCCCACATGCCCTGTCCTCTGCAACCCCCATCCACCCCTCCCCGTCACTGTTACATAAGCTTCCAGTCATAGATCCAGGCCATATCGCTGTTGTTTTCGTCCCGTGTGTCTATTGGAGCCTTAGCATCCAGGGCCAGTGCTTAATGAGGCCCCTACAAAGGCCCATTGATGAGAGGCCCAGTGTGAGAGAGGATGACCCCAGCCAAGAGCACCCAGAACTGGGCATCAGATGCCCCAGGCCCTCCCTCCACACAAAGACGTCCACTGTGGACAGAGACCTGAAAGGGCACAGAGAGAAACAGGGACACAGAGAGGGAAAGTGGAAAAAAAGAGGGAGGAGATGTCCAACTCAAAAAATGTGAGAAAAAAGATATTTAAAAAAAAAATTAAACAGATGTATGACTTCATCACTTAGTCGCTTCTTTGACCATGAGCTTCCTCTTCCTCTTCCTCCTCCTCAGTGCATCAGAAGACAGTGAGACGCACCCTCTGCCCTCTCTCTGCCAGGGAGTTGTCAGAGTCTTTATCTCACCCGTGGATCATAACTGGGATCTGAACAGATGGGACTACAAGGCTCTAGTCTGTCACAAATCCTCATCAGTATAGCCATTGGTTGCTCAAAGGAGCGCTCAACGCACTTTGAGGGGAACCCCTGCTCTTTTTGGAAACATTTGGATCACTAACGGGAATCCAGACGGTTTTAGGAGCCAAGTCTGGTGGAGATAGTCTTGTTCATTAATCTGATTTGGGCTACAACCGGGCGTTTGGGAAGCTGTCTCGAATTGGGAATGAGAGCAGAATGTGGACAAATTAGGCTGGACTGTTAGAAGCTGTCGTGGTATGAACATTTGGAGAATTGGGATGTCGCTTGACTGGCATGGCTTAACTACCTCGTTTAAGTCATCTGTCAGTATCCCACGATTACACCTAATAACAGAGAGAAAGAGAAAAGGCTGTGCAGCCAGACTGTGGGAGTCTTCCTTTTGTTGAAACATCTCTTTATTATTTTGGGTGGTGTTTTTGGGGATCGGCTGAAGGATGACTCTGGCAGCACGACTGGAGGACTTAGAGGTGACCCTGGAGCACATGCTTATGGATGTCTTTGTAAGTTTTCTTTTACCACATTTTTTTTTTTTTCGTTGAAAGTTTAATCACAGTATAGTTGTTTTATCTGTCATAAAGTGCATTTAACTGAATGTATTTCTTTTAGTCTTTCATCACCATTCTTCTCTCTGTGTTTCATATCGGTGACCTCTCTGGTGCATACTTGCAGTTTGAGACCATAGGCTAACATATGTTCACATCTCTTTCCAGATGCTCTCTCATTAATTGGCACAAAAAAATGTGCTGATTAAATATCAAACTCTGCGCAGGGAGATTTTGGTTAAATAACTGGCTGACCAGGAATGTAACCTGGACTGCATGGCCAATACATGACTCAACACTAGGTTAGCCCACTGAGTTAAGACTTTGGGAATGTTAACTCAGCATGTGAGGAGCTTTCATCCAAAGTATTAAATCTAGGTACTTGGCTTATTGAAGCTTTCTGTGGTCTGCAGCCTTCACATTTATCTGCATGTTGCCATAAATCTTTTGATTAGGAAGGAATGAAATCTCCAAGTGAAGGAAGTGAGGATTGAGAACGAGGAAAGAAAAGGATGAAAGAGGAATAAGAACGTCTGATGGATGTGATTGTCAGGTTTCTATTGCCCGTGACGCTTGGTTAGAGGTAGATTACTCAGGCCCCTGTGGTTTATAAAGCATTCGGGCTGTGGGAATAAAAAAACTGCTCGACACTGCATCCCTCACGCACACAGATACTCACTCAAAACCCATTTAGATAGTGTAACATGCAGTCGCACATGCATTCTTTCTCTGCACAAACACACACACACACACACACACACACATTGTAAACACGAGACATCAGAATCCCTGGTTGCCTTGATCTGCCGGCTGCTGTAATGACTTTGGTCATTAAGCTTCTGTTTCCCTTTAACATTGTTTACAGGCATAGGCATCTGTTGGAGGAAACAGTAATCTGTCCTTTCACGATATATACTGTGCTTCCGATGAACTCTGTCAGCACACACCCCACTGCTGCAGGGCGTCAATGTCAATGAAATATGTGGATATGTATGCTTCCTGAATCCATCAACCTATTTTGGAGATTTGGTTGTTTTCATGTATCCAATGGATGATTTATGACTGGAGCAATAAAGATTAGTGTTTATGGGCAGAACAGGATTTGCATTATAAATTCATGCATGTCATGTGGAAAAACAGGAGTCAGGAAAACGCTTCCTTCCTCAACATTTCCTCTCAGCATCCTAATTAGACTGCTTATTTATTTATTTCTCTAATAGCTGGAAGAGGTTGGAGGTTTATCTGCGCCCTTTGCATACTTAAATGAGAAATATTCAAATTGCCTGCACTCTTTCCAGGCTGCTTGCTTGCTGAGCGTGTATATGGCATATGCACGCGTACAACCAAATGTACATGTACACACACACACACACAAATGTTAAACCATGCAGACATGAGCTAAGAAGAGGCCTATTTCAGTGAACCATCAGATCAAGGCTGGGTGATTTAAATACTTTTACGGGACGGCTTAGCAGCAGCAGACGTGTGTCATAAATCAGGCATCTTATATTACTGAAAACAGTTTGTCAGAGTGTTCCAAAACAAGATACCAACAGTAACATACTTATTTATTGACCTTCTGTGTAAAGTGGGAACACGCAAGTGTTAAACATTTCTGTATGTGTGAATTAACCCAGCAGTGAGCAGAGACAGCGGTCGTTAGGGGAATATTAAGGGTCATTCGAATAATGACAACTCTTCTCCATCCTCCAGTGGAGAAGGACCTCCAGAGCCCTCACTAGGATGCTCATTGGCTTGAAGCATGCCACTGAGTGCACAGCTATTTTCATTAGCACAGCAGCGCATATATGTGCATGATTCAGGAAAGCCGAGAGGATCAGCGGCAGAGAACTTCCTTTACAACCTCTTTTACTACGAGAAAAGGAGTTCACTATGTTGATGCCTTGATTGCTCGCAGGAAGCTGGAGTCGAAGGGAGAGATTTAAAGCACATGAATGCACACGACATGATTACGAAGTCAAGCCTACCAGCTTAGAATTCAGAAATATAGTGAGGAAATCTATCAGCGCTGTTAAAATCAGCTCATAATTTCAAAAAACAGTGCACTTCCATTGTTACATAAGGGACATTTGAAAAAAGCAGACCCCCCCCCCCCAAATATTAATTTTAGAGGAAAATGAATCATCTTTGTAGCTTGATTTCCATTACATTTGTGGCCTCATTGACATAGCAACGGACATAGCATCAATGCCACGTACACAGTGACAGGAACCTTTGACTTGAATAAAGCAGTGGCATTATCTGTATGTGGTGATTTCATTTTTTTCTGGCTGCTGTAAAATATCACAACTTGTGCCAAAGCTGCTGTGTATTGTGTTGCCGGTCTGCTGAGCTGTGTGAGCTGCGAGGGGAGGACAAAGAGAGAGAGGGGGAGACAGGGAGAGAGGAGGAGAGAGAGAAAGAGAGAGAGAGAGAGAGATGGCAGCTCACAGTCTCGCACAAAGGCTGACAGTCACGTCAGGCAATGAAGCGTCGTGATTAAAAATGCATTCGATTCTTGTGTAGTCTAATTGAATCTCCTCCTCATGCACCCCACAAACATCTCCACCCCCCAGTCCTCTCCCCCAACAACCGCATCCCTTCTATGATGCAGGCTTGCAGCCAGAAAAAAAAAAAACATCCCCTCTCGCACTCTTCTTCCTCCAACATCCCTTGTTTTCTCCTCCATCCCCCTCGCCTCCTCTGACAGAGGAATATCTCAGCTGGATGGGATTGATTCCAGCGCCTCTTTCCAGGAGCCATAAAACACTGGTTCATGTCTTTGGGAGAGCTGGTCTGCCACAAAGGGCCTGCGGTCTGCGAGAGCATTCAGTCTGTCAAGAGCACAAACACTGTGACATACTGATACCAAGAGCTTGCACTCTGCACATTGAGAATTGTATCACGAGATTGTGCGTTATGTGTTTCTAAAGGCACGTGGATAACCTATTATCCAGCGTGCTCTTCTCCTTTGACTGTGCTGCTGTATCGGTTGTTTCATATAGAGGCTATTGACTGGGTATATTATGTGTGACCATTTTGTTATGCAATGGGTGTGTCCTTTTCCCAGTGACAAAATTGTTCAGTTATAGCACACTGCCCTCTTCTTTCTTTCTCCATCCCTCTCTCTCTCTCTCTCTCTCTCTCTCTCTCTCTCTCTCTCTCTCTCT